ACACCCACACCCACACCCACACCCACACCCACACCCACACCCACACCTACTACTACTGCTACTACTACTACTGCTACTACTACTACTCCTGCTGCTACTGCTGCTGCTGCTGCTGCCCCTGCCCCCGCCCCCGCCCCTGCCCCTGCCCCTGCCCCTGCCCCTGCCCCTGCCACTGCCACTGCCACTGCCACTGCCACGACGACGACGACGGGGAAAATATCTACGTGTGGTGGGTGTGGCTCTATAGTCACTCTCCTTCAATGGTTTGCCAGAGAAGAGGTGGGGGACCCTTTAAGCATAAATATGTAAGATCCAACCTTGTCCAAATTTTCTATAGTAATAGAAAGGCTGACTGGTGCTTAGTAGAGAATGAGGGAAGTTTCGCCCCCAATAGAGATTCCTTTGGATCCAGCCACCCTCATTCCCTACGAGTCGCACCAGTCAGAAGGCCCTGCAAGGTCGGCTGGTGCTTTGTTGGGCTGATTTGCCAGATCCTCAGCTCCCGAGGCCGAGGACCCTTCGTCTCCCACGTGCGCGGCACGTTCCCGTGAGCTTCTGCAAAAGCATGCGAGTCTCAAAGGTGCTGGCATTCAACTTGAGGTGCCGCTGGGTGGGCAGATGGCGTAGTACATGTCTTTATTTCTTGCTGGGTTCTTTGTTTGGTCTCAGGCAATGTAATCTGAAGCAGGTGTTTGCGAAAGATCGTCATTTGATGGTGCTCCGAAGAAGTTTCAAGCACTTTCCTCCAAATAAAAACATGTTTGGCTTCTGAGCCCCATGAAATCAATCTCAAGGTGCAGTTTTGCAGGGGGACATGCGCAAAAGGGATGTTCAATGGACATCGTATCACAAAATGCAGGAACAATGCGGCCAGGGTCCAGGCTGGTGTTATGTGTTGTGTTCTGAAAGGTTCTCTTGGTTTAGGGCTTGTGAACCCAGGTCACCGACCCAATCCTGCGACTTGGCAACATGGATGTGAAGCCGGTGCACCCTTCTCATTTGCATAGGTGTTTTTTTGTTCGGAGTCATCCTAGGCAGATATCAGCAGATCAACACCGCCGCACCACAGCAGAAATCAAACTAGTCTTGTAAGAATAAACCCTGATGTAGATGTAAATCCCTGAGATCTGAAAAAAAAACCTGACACAATTCCCAGTCTTTTATAGCTTTCACTCTCTGTTCACTCCTCACCTCGCCCCTCGTCCCTCCACTTCACCACTGTGTTCGCCGCCGCTCCGTCCGGTCCGGCGCGGCTCTTCGGAGGCCTCGCGGATGATGAGCTTCGAGGCCTTGCAGCAGAGGACCGAGGAGTCGTTGCTCGGACGGAGAGGGCACCGCGATCGGAAGGAGAATGGAGGGGAGACGGATGGGAGGAAAATCTCAATGAATGCATGCAAAAGTTCAAGTTGTATCCGATTATTTCATATTTGTTCTATAGTTTTGTGCACAAAATTTAAAGCCTTCTTTTTTCCTCCACCTGATATCCAGATTCCAAACAGGAGGACCTACTAAAGAAAGCAAGAGTTCCTGGAGTTCTTCAGCAAAAATCATAACAGAGCTGGTTGATGCAGACTGTGGCCCACAGGCCCTCAGGTGTAAACTCTCATGTTTAATCCTTCACCAGCTTTTCCGGCTTAGAGCTCCTGTTGTGTTTTTCATCGGATTGCCCAATCTTCCAGATCGAAGGGTTCCCTCCACCAGAAGACTTGTGGGTGAAACTCATCAGCATCGTCATCACCTTTGCAACATCCGGGGTCCCGGCGCGTTTTTTTGCCAAATCGCCGCAGCCCAACTCCCCTCTCAGGTATGCCTATGCAAGGAAGTTGGCCTCTCGTAGCAAGCTCTTGGTCGAGCAGGTGCGGGAGTCTATGGGTTGACAAACGCAACAAGATCACAGCTTGAAATTCTGAAGAACCGTTTAAGTCTTGGTTGCCTTTAGAGACTGACTTCTTCCAGTGAGCCGATGGCGCAATCTTGTTTCCATGGCATTTCCCGAAAGAGCCAGTCAATTGAACAACCAACACAACATGCGTACCTCCTCCATAATGGATTCGTTGTTTAGAACCAGCCACAAGGGTGCCGCCATGGCAATTTTGCCACAATGTTGCCGCAATAAAAGACTAAAGTATTGACGAAACACAACAACAATTCATCCCACTTTGGTGATGTGCATTTTTTGGTGTGCCTTGGAAGGCATGCTCGTCACATGCTTGCACATGAAAAAACAAAATCTGCAACTTCATCAGGACTTGCGCCATCACGCTCGCTCGATGCTGGTGAGCTACCGCCGTGAGGCTCGTGTGACTCATGAGCTAGTGGGTCCATGATTTCTGAGAGGAGTGTGAGAAGAGGCAGGGAACTATAGCTAAAGTGCTAACGAATATTGGTCAGGAATTGGTGAAACAAACGGTGGAAGGTGTTGAACAAAGGCAACCTAAGGATTCAACAAAAATAGACTGTAGATTTACGCGGATTTACGTAGATCAACATATGCAGAAGACACGCCAATGGTAGACCAAATGTTGTTGGTATCGCAGCCAGCTTGCTGGAACCATTTGTACCAGATGGAACATCGGGTGTTGCGAGTGGTAGAAAGCGTAGTGAGGATCTCTCGATGCGAGGTCTAAACAGGATCAACCCATGGTGAACAGGTGAAGTGTTTGGATCCTCGATCGGATCGTGACATGTTTGGATTCGAAAGGGCGCCAACCAGGACATCCACCAACAGCTGAAAGGAAGAGATGCTGCATATGCAGCTGTGTGTGCAGAGCCCCAGAAGTTCAACTCAATGACTTACCCACTGACTTCTTTGGCCAAGCAGCCACCATACCATGCTACCATGCTACACCTGGTGTTCTTTGGATCGAGCTTGAGCCTCCTTTTGCCCCAAAAACACCTCTCCACCTGATCGAAACGGAAGAACCACCTCGAACTTCTGCCGAACCCTCTCGTTTCCGCTCAGAGCACGTGTGTCGAGAACGCAGCCCCTTGTCCGCATGAAGAATCGATAGTTCATCAACGGATATCAACGGGTTCTTGTATGTTCTACCTCCTGAGGAGGTGGTTGGAGCGCTAGGGCTCTAGGGCATATGGTTTAATTGAGAGAGAGAGAGTCTTGAGATGATTTGGGCCTGGACATCTGGATGGGGAATGGTTGGCCCTGTGCTCATGCAGGTATGTGATAAAGGAGGCCAAGAAGACTGAGGATGTATATATAACCCTTGGCCCTTGGCAGTTCTCGAAAGACTCGCAAGATAAGAGCTAGTTTTGTTATGTTTGGGTTGCTTTTCAGCGAAGGATGGCTGGGTGGCTGGGAGGCTGGGAACCACTCGTCACAGAAACTCATTTGGTTCGGCTGCATGTTGAGGGCTGCATGCAGCATGCAACCCTCGAGTTTTCCTAAATCCCAATACTGTAACCCTAGGGGCCTACGGCTCCAAGTACCTTCTAAGAAGGTGTTTGGGCCAGGTTTGGAGGGTCCTCATACCTTCTGAAGATTCACTTGGAGCCCTAGGTTAAGCCTTTGACCTGTCTTGAAGTGTGTTGAACCAAGGATCGTGCTTCGTATCGAACGGGTAGACACCATTTAAAGCCCCCATCAATGGAGACGGAGCAGAGTTTGGACCTGACAGGCTGAGCATACCGAGCGTACCCTACCTACATCTACTTGGGTGGTACCGAGTCACAGTCCCACCTGAATTAGGGGAACGGTTAGAGTCGCATGGTGTTGAAACCCTGTATTTTTTTGGGTCATGGGATCAGCTGGGGGGACCATATCCTGAATCAGTATGGCCATATCACCTTATGAAGGGACCCTGTACAGTACTGTATGTAACAGTATATTATATATATATGAGTTAGGTTAGCCTCATTCTTCAGGGTCAAGTCTAAATATATACATTATATTAAGTTACACTCCCCTTAGAATCCTAACAGCATAGAAGTTATACAGTAGAAGCATGTAGAAGAATGTAGAAGCATGTATATAGAATCCTTATACTAGATATAAGTTATATACCCCAAACACTCCATGGGACTGCCATATATGCTTACATTGAGGTGGTTGTTTTTGGGGGGTCAATTGATCGGCAGTCCTATGGCAGTGCCCGTGTCTGGGTACAGACACTCTCTGTGTAGCAGCACTCTCTTCTCTCTTCGACGGGGACCGGAGTGGGGACCGGTCCTGTTCGCGATCGAGGCGAATCACTTCAATGATTTTATCCACTCTTCGGGCCTCATCCACGAGCTCACCAGTAGCGAGATCACCAGCTTTGAGGCGAGATGACCGTGGCAAGCGGAGAGGTGAGAGCTGGGCCGATGGTCCACCGGGACGGAAAAGCGGACTGGAAGATTGGACGAGTTACACCAAGACTCTTGTGGGAAGATTGATGTTTGATTGTGCTGGTGGCCGTTGGTGGGTGGTTTTGGGATGGGAAGAGGGTTCTATAGCTGCTGTTCTTATGGAGATGATGAGCTTGGACGACGGTTGGAAACCATCTTGATGGTAGCGCGTGCCGCACTCTTCCGCCAAGTCCAAGAAGCCAGGTCAAGAAGGCAGCCAATACATGGTCCACACGATGGAAGCAACATGAAGCTTCCAACATCTAGGCAGAGAAGCGGCATGCGCAGTTGAGCCTCAGTGCAAGAGAACAACATGGCCAAGCCCTGTAAGAACAACGACAACGAATCCAAATAAGAACAGTGTTTTGCAGGATCATTTCCGCAACCACCTTGTACACTTGAAAAGAACATACTGTAGCACAAAAAGATTCTTGAGTGTCAACGGCCCTCATCGGACCACCACCATGGGCCATGGCGTCAACCCTACTCTCGGTGTTGGTTTCAAGCATTTTTGGCAATATAATGTAGTGCGTTTGCTGGCCATCGACCCCTTCTATAGTCCAGCACTCCATTTGGAGGCCTTCGTGTTATTGGTATTCCATTCTGATCTTCCGGTTGTGTTGCCGTTTTGTTTCTGCCTGCAGGAGCGCGTGCTGGAGGAGATGGAGATTTTGTGCAAACACCATGCTTCTAGGCCACAGGCGATTCTCGTGAGCCAGACTCGGAGGGACCCCTGACAGACTGGTCGGATTTCTTGATGGCATTTGGACTTCTTTCGAATCAGTCGATCGCTACAGATCCGACATGAGATGTTAACTTTGGGGGAGGCTCCATGTGGTGGTTCTGGTTTCGCGGATGCTGCAGTGGCACAATCTTGTTATATGAAAGACGTAGCCAGGCCGGAGCCCTCAAGATCCTCAAGAATGTGGACATCCTTTGGGTCAATGAACTGGGGCCTGCAGAGATATGATATACTATATATAATATGACATATCCCTAGAAGTCCAAAGACTATTGTTTGACCGGCTCAAGTAAAGGAATTTCCCTTTCAGGTCCCTTAAAGACAATTATTTTTATTGTCTTTGACTCCCAGGGATATGATTATCCATAATTTTTGAACACACTATCCCGAAGCCCACAACAATAAAGCTCAACTAGTAACTAAAGCCATTGGATGCCTGATCACAAACAAAAGGGATTGAATCGTGATTCCCACCAGAGTTGGGAGAGATGCACAGGAAGGGTTGGTTTATGAAAGGACAGGGCTCCCAATATAGTAGGTTTTGACACCCCTTGGCAACCTGCGCTTTGTTCACAGAATCCTGTTCCACCCAATTACTTCAGGTTCCGTCAATAGTGGAACTTATATATATATACCTTAGGGATCCAAGTACCTTGTCAGAAGGTGATTGGAGACTGTTTATGTAGGCTTGGAGGGCCCAAGTACCATCTGAGGTTCCTTATGTGGATCCCTAGGGATATATATATATATATACTCGTTTAACATTTCACTGAAGGCTTGTGGGACAGACAAAGACACACAGAAATCAAAGGAGTCATGGAGACCTCGTTCCAATTTCGCCTTCTGCAGCTGATGAGCCTCCTTGAGAACCGACGACCCTCCTAGGCCACGGACACCATCCCTGACGCCGCCGCACAGGCGCACCGGGGGATGAGTGACTGATCAAGCTTGTTGTGGAACCAGTTCCCTCAATGTTCTTTTTTTGGTTGTGAGGAGGCAATAGAGAGAATAGAGTTGGTTGAGAATGCAGCATTCTGCTGGGCCCACCTGGCCGTTCTTCCAAACAATGTCATTGTTGGATATGTGATATGTTTGTTTCTTTGATTTTTTCTTGGTGCCGGAGATCGTTTTCTTTGCAGGACCGGTCGGTGACCCACCAGACCGTTCGACTGCGGCGCGCGCAAGGCCAACGTGTGGCTGGAGGATTTCGTTCAGACCTTGCGCGTGGCTTGGATTGAAGGGACCGCGGCGGTGTTCCGGACAGAGAGCAGCTGGAGGATCGATTTAAAGACTCGGTTTCCGAGCTCGTTGATGGTAAGGGCCGGACCTCTAAATGGCAAAGGTCTAGCTTCACGGGATCAACATGTATATGTGCACACTATATCTATATAACTGGAATAGTAATGGAAGATCCACAATCCGAGGATATCAAACAGGGGATGTTCCACTTCCATGATAGTTCCAGGGTACTGTATACAATTTGTCAAAGTCCGGCGATCACCGGGCTTTGAGTGCTTTGCATCCGAGTTCCAGCGTGTCAAATCGTCCGCTCCCAGGATGAGCAGCCAGTTCTGTCCGAGAGGCTCTTCCAGCTACTCGAGGCCGCGGCGCACACGTTGCGTAGAAACCGCCCAGCACGCGGCGTGAGCAACCAGCTGTTCGGATGTAGAACGATGAAATCATTTGCAGTAGTCAATCATGATCAATGCCTGTTTGTTACACTTTGTGTTTTTGTCACGTTGCTTCACACCTGATCTCAGTTCCAATCCACAAACAACCTTTGACACCCAAAGCGCACCGGTTCTTGTGCAAACGTATTTGGTTTTTGGTGCCCACCGGCGTCCGTGCCACGGCTAACGCTTCCAGGGAGAGAGCGGCTTCACTGTGGAGTTCGGCGCTTGGCTGCGGAACTTCTCGCAGCTGGATCTTCAGCGCCGGACCGGCATCAGGCAGATACAGCGGTCGATTGGTTTCAGAGGTTTGATGGCACGCAGAGGTCGAGGAGGTCCTTTTGGTGAAGCGGACTCTTCTGGTGACCCTCATGTCTGGGCTGGGCTAGAGGCGTATAGACCCTAGGGCTCCTGACCTTTTCTTCGTTTTCTTTCAGATCGTTTTAGATGGGGTCCATGTAAACCACCGTTCTTGATGATTGTGCCTACTCTGAGTCCCACCTCGTCTCTCGTGGGACTTCGGGTGAGGGCTGGGCTTCTCCCAGCGCATGGTCAGCCTTAGATCGTGGCCTTAGATCACGGTTCCCCGAGGGAAGAAGGCCAATGGTCGTGGTGCAGATGCAATTCCCCTTGAAAAGAGGGTTCGCTCCTTTGGTTCGGAGCACTGTGCAGTTTCTGTAGAGTTAGCAACACGCAACATGCTACCATGTATATATATATATATATATAAATATCAGCGGCATATCTTAAAAATGTCGTCCATGTCCGAAACAAGACGAAGCTCCTGCTCCTTGCAGTACTCAAGTTCTTGAGTTCTTGCTGTTATGACTTCAAAACGTCCAGGCGTTCCCAGTGGCCCAGCACCCAACGGACCTGGTCAGGCACGACAATAGCACCGTGCACGCGTCCTTCCTCCAAACTGATTCTTGGCCGTCGTGTCGGCCCGGCCAGCGCTGCTCCTTCGGAGTCCTTCGTGAGACAAGCATGTCCCCAGACACGACGAATGGGACTGCCATAGGACTGCCGATCAATTGATCCCTTTTCAACCACCCCAATGTAGGCATATATGGCAGTCCCATTCGTCGTGTCTGGGGTCAATTGAGACAACCGTGATTTCGAGGACGGAAAACAGAGTTTGGATCATGACCAGCCAATGCCACGACGTGGGTTTCAGAAGCGGTCGAAACTGGTTGTCATTGAGTGGGATTGACCCCAATGATCGTACCAGATGGGTCGCTGGACATGTGGTTTCACGGTGAGTGGTCCTATACTATAATAATGCAGTATCGTATATTATATAATTAGGTCAAACAGTGACAAGTTGCCTCACTAGTTGTCATTGAGTGATAATGTGCTCACGATATTTTTGAGCTCATGCCCAGCAAGTCCCCTTGGCACAATAGCCCATCAACTTTAGGGGTTTTGTCCAAAGAGATTTCTGACCATTTAAACCTAATTACCAGAGGAACTATAAATCGACTGCTAGATTTTTGCTAAATGGAGCCGGCCTATATACAGCAAGCTTGAATTCTGGGAATGAGTTGGTTGGTTGATGCATGCGCCATCCTGAGTGTGGCCTATCAGATTGCAACTTCAAACAAGATCAGGAAGCTTTGCAGGTTAGTTCAATAGACTTCGGTCAGTTGGATTGGAAGTCAAAGTAACACTGGCACAGCGACTGGTGGCCACTGACTTCTCTTGTATCAACAGCAATCCCTCCCCTATAGGAACCATGCATGCCCAACATAAACTTCCAACCGATCGTATCCACCAGTCAAATATAGCAAAACCCACGGTTTGGGGGGACCATCGGCTCCTAGCAAAAGCGAAAGTGGGCAGTCAGAGGCAGATCAAAGAGATTTCGCGAAAAAACACACGCCCAGTCGGTCGGCTGTTTGGACTGAGGTGAGCATCACCGACCAGATCCTCACCCGCTCCTTGCCCGCGTCCTTCGAGTCCCAAGACCAATGGCCTCATTGTCGCGAGATCATCGCCCGCATCCACAACCAAGGCCCGGTGTCGAGGTCGGACCATGTCGGACCGGACCGGGCTTCGTTTTCACGAGCACGAGCGAAAGGCAGGAATTCGAGAGAGAGGCAAGAAGGTTTTCTTGGAGAATAGTATGTGCATGAGCATGTATGAGAGACTAATGTAGCTAAGATTAGCGAAGATCTATGATGATCTATTCCGCATTCGTTCGCAGGAAGCCCCCAAAAACATGACCGTACAAGCGTAGGTTCCTTGCGCGGAACCACTGGTGGGATTAACATCGGGAGCCCTGGTGAGAGATGCAGAGCCCTTAAAAATCAGGGTCACTAACCGGGTAGGCTCATTGAAGATCAAGAAGCCATCATCATTTCAGCCATATTAGCCAATTGGCTAGACTCCAGGGCAAGAAGGTGATCGGTCGGGCGTTGCGCGTTGGTTCTGCAGGTCAATGTGGATCTTGCTGGGCAGCCTTCTCCTGCTTAAGAATAATATTTTTTAGATTTGTTTAGTATATGTTCTTCTCATGTTTTCTTATGGCTAAATCCCCTTGTGGTGAGTGGGTTTCTATTGTTTCCAGGTTCCTGGGACAGCAAATCCAAGGCATTCGGTGCATCTTCTGCACTGGACTCACGCTTGTGACCCTTGGGTCGCAGAGCGAACGACCAACGCGGTGGGTCGAGCTCCGTTCAGCCGTACCCGACCTCCTGAGGCACCTGGAAAGGATCCTGAGCCAACTGTAAGGTGAAGAGTGTATTTCACACACTCCAGGACCCCCAGGACCGGGGTGGTAGACATGGACACTCCTTAACAGCTAAGGGGCTAAGGGACTAGACACCCCGACAGGAGGGTCCTGGCTGTTTCATGCAGACTATGAACATATGGCCGTGTCAAAACCGGAGCGTCAATCCGTAGCTTCACCTCCGTCGTTTGTGATGTTCGGCACCGTGGTCAAACCCCGGTGCCATGACCCAGAGCGAGAACAGCGGTCCATCGTTTGTCAGTCGTGCACCCACATGAAGCTTCAAGCAATTCGATAGACTTTGTTCTTGATAGACATATTATATCAATCCTCTCACCATGGAAACGCACACCGGGATTTATATCATATTATTATTGTTAGTGTTTTGGAACAATTACATTGTTGAGCAGGTGAGCAGTGTTTTTTCTGGCGCGCGCCAAAGCACACAGAGTCAAACGCTTCCACAGCTTTGGGATCGACCGGGTCGTCTTAAGAAGAGGTCCACAGAAGAGGTCCACACGTGTGAGAATGTAGTATGTCCTGTATGTATGCTATTTGCCTTTTCATGTCCGTTGTGCTGCGCATGGAGATCATGTTTGGAGTGGGGGGTTGTTTTCTCTTGCCGGTGGTAGTGTTTGACGGTTCCTGAGAAAGAGTCTAGGGATTTGGGTCGTCTAAAATTATTGAACGGATTTGATGCAGTCGTTGCGTTCTTTCCTGTTCCACTTTGCTACTACTGCAACTACTTCAGCTTATGAGAGCCGCTAGTCTATGTGGCTCATGAATTCTGCCCTGATTCGCATCCAAATTCGCACCTGCCTGCAGCCCTGCATCAACAATGTAATTATCTGCCTCAATGTTGTTCTACGAAACCAGCATGCTCAGCATTGCTTTTTGGATAGCCGTTCATGAAGGTTTTGGAGTTTTTATACATTTGAAGGGCCTGGGCAGTCACAAGCCGCCCAACTTCATCATTTCCTGGAGTCACAAAGGGGTGCCTATTGGAGGTTAGGGATGCCCATTATCCACTCACTTAGGGACCAAACACAACCCCTTTGTGACCCCTGGTTCACAGCTCTACTTAGACCAGACCCCTTAGGCAAGAATCTCTGCTCAACTTCATTTGGGCAACAAAACATATGCCCGCTTTTCGCCGTTCTGCACGTGCATTGTCTTATAGGAGGCAGAAGCAGGATGAAAAGACTTTGGGAAAACCGATGCTGGCCACATGATGCCATCATCCATGGTCCCAATCAGGTGAAATGCATGCCACTCACCCCAAGTCCGGCGGCAATTCCCTGGTCCGGCCGAGCTAGTGATGGTAGGGTTTCGGGGGGACGTTTGAAAGCCCTGGTTGTGAGGTGTTCATCATCACTATGGGAATTTCTGGAACCAGCAGTGGGTGGATCCTTTATATATATATATATACCAAAAAAAAGAGCAAGAACGCCTGCAGGGGACAAGAATATCGTTTACCTATAATCAAGGTTTTTCAGGAGGACAAAAGTTGCATGAAATGCATCCTGATGTGAAAAGGGGCAAGAGTATGAGAGATCAGTGAGTCAGTGTTGCGGTTCATTTTCTGAGAGGCTTGTGTTTTCGGGTGAGATATTCCCCAAACAGCGTGGTCACACCTAGGAGTTCTGGTTAAGGCTATTTGGGGATCATCTCAATTTGTCAAAGCTGTTTAATGGCTAAGACTGTTTGGGCTGTCAATGCTTAGGGCTGTCACTAGGGGTTGTTTCCCAGGATCCTCTTGTTCTCGACATGTACTTCACTACGACTTAGAGTACTTCACCAATTCGCCAAGACACCGAGTCTCTTCCCAGCGGATCCCGGTAGACCACTATAGCTGACAGCCAGTAGTTCCAAATAGTTGCAATGACTAAAACTATAGACCGAACGAAAACCTGGTTCCTGGTTCCTTACCCAGACCATCCATGTGTATATCCATGGGCATATTTACCTACATTGACCCCTTTCAATGAACCACCCCAACTGATCGGTAAATATGGTATGGCGCTCTTTTGGCACTTCTCAAGCCGTTACTGTAAGTTTGGGCTGCTTTACGACTAGTTTCGACCTAAAATAGGTCTCGTTCAGGCTTGTGCCCCAAATTACTGCAGACCAAACTCTGCAGCCGCCATGTCTTCGTTTCGTGTGAAAAAAAAACAGGCCCCATCTAGTGAGTGGGAGTGGCATATTGACCTACATCGACCCCTAAAATCCATCAATCAACCACCCCTGGCCCTGCTTTGATCGGTCAATACTTCTGCCAGTTCCCATGGCTTTGGGTGGATGACCGAGTCACCAAGGCATCGCCACCGATGGCGTCTTCAGCGGTGCAGCGGCGCAGCTGAGCCGAGGACCGTGGAGCTGGGAGGGGATGGAGCTGGGTGGAGCGAGCTGGGAGCGGTCAGACCGATAGACGTGGATCCAGTGGGATTGGACTGGGGTGGGACTCTAGTAGGTTGGAGGCCATCGCACTTAGGGTGGGGTGGGACTGGGTACCCTCTGAGAAGGTGGGACTGGGGTGGGTGCCAGGAGGGTCCAGTCGTACCGAACTTGAGGAGGTACGGCTGGATCCCTAGGGAGAGGTAGCCAGTGACCTGAACGTTCGGACCCGAGCTACCCCTGGTATAGTCGAACTGGGGTTCTTCACCTTCTGCTGGGAAAGCACTATCTGTGCCATCCTGTCTGTCTGATTGTCCTGGCTGGAGATCCTTAGGTAGTGTAGCTATATAATCCAGCCAGGGCACCCAGACAGGATGGTCCTGGTCGTAGAGCCCATGGTTGTTTTTGGGAAATGTGCTTGTTTAGGCTCCAAATCACGTCGTTTGGACTGGGGTTCCATGCGCTGTGGGTGGAGTTTGAGAAACCAGCCAATTCCACATGATACCTTTTGAAATGTGGGGGTGTTTGGTTTGAAACGGATAGGACCTTGTCATCAGAAAAGCAGAAGAAGGAAAAGGTACAAAGGATGATCATTCTGCCAACAGGCTTTGTGTTTAAACGGGTTTGTGATGGTTTGTGTATGTCATGTATTAGCCCACCAATGGCTTCATGCTACGCTTTAAAGTTTTTGCCATGAACACTTGCACACTCCCACAACTTACTGGATCTATGATGTCGCCCGTACCATATACCTTAATTACTCCCTGGAAGATTAACATGGAACCTGAAAACCACCTTTTTGTAGAGGAAGCTAGTTTTCCTGTTTGGTCCATTTTCAGGATCCATGTTAATCTTCAAGGTCAAATGAAAGGAACTCTATATTCAATCAATCCAGGTACTCAATCCAGGTTAATTCTCAATCCAGGTACTCTTGTTGAAGGAACTCTTTCTTCAAAAGCACCTCCACCTGGCCTGGCGCGCCAGGTTATGTGGCCTCCTGCGCACCGCAACCTGCGGGCACCGACGGCTGCGGCGGTGGCTGGTCCAGCTGGGTCTTCGACCTCATGGCCGGCGCAGGCGGGGAAACAGGTGGCGCCGTCTGACTGGTTTGGACAGGTGGAGCTCACCTCTCCAGACCAATTCACCTCCAGAAACCATCGGCTTCCGTGAGTGGCGTGCGTCGCAACGCCGAGCAGCGTGGTCACCGGTGGTCCTTCAGGGCGTTTTTTGCGTCGCCAGAACTGAAGAGTCAGGGTGAATGGGTGAAGGGGTTTAGCCATCACTGGTGCTTCAAGGCAGTTGATTCCGTTTGAAATTGGTTCATGTTTGGAGGGGATGATCTTTTGTTTGAGGACAGTCAATGAGCAAAAGTAGAAACAATGTGATGGAAGCTGCCACAAAGAGGGTAGAGTTTCTGTTTGGCATTTAACTTTGGGCTGCAGGGACATTGGTGGGCCATACAATGCTATATATATAGCATTATATGAGGTGGTTGATTGTGTTGTACGGGGTGAAGTCGGTTCGGCCTTATTGTACAAGTGATATGGTCAACACTCAGGAGTGCAATGGAGATCAACATGTGTTTGAGCGGAACCGAGTCAATTCACAGGCGCCAGATTCATCTTGCCATTGGAAACACTCCCGTCCTCACGAAGTACCTCCAGGCGTCCCCACGGGTGGCGCCAGCGGGTGTTCGCCCTACTTTGGCCACGGCGATGGCACGGAGCACTTTGCGAACTCGGGCACTGCTCCGCCCTGTCCCACAATGCGTCTGAGACGAGTGGTGGATGAGATTGGAGGGTAAGTTGGGTGATTACTGCGGGGGATGAGTGGGATGAGGAGAGGCGAGGGTGGGATGAGTGACATGAATGATCATGATCTTCTCACGCTACCTCAATTGCATCCAGATTGGATGCTTGGAGGTTCTCATTGGTCCAGACTGTCCATACAATGACTCGTATTGGTCCATTGGCAGGAGGCATTCAGAGCAGATCTTGGACGTTCTATCCATTGGGGGGCAAAGTCAATCACTCACTCCGAGTCACTAAAGGACCGTCGTGTGGAACACGGGGGCCATACCATCCACTTCCATTCATATAAGGTGAGTCAGAGTTCCCTACTCTCCCTAGGGATCCAAGTACTTCTCAGGTACGGTGATCGGAGACTATTGATGTAATTAGGCTTGGAGGGCCCAGTCGTACCGAACCTGAGGTGAAGGTACGACTGGGTCCCTAGGGTCTGAAGAGCAACGTGAAAGGTTCGCAGAGGTGCTGATCCACTCTGGATGAATCGGCTTTGCGCAAAGACACAGTTCTTCATTAGCAGTTGCTCGACGCACTGGACATGTCACAAGTAGCTGGTTGTTCGTGTCACAAGGTTTGCTCAACACCTATTCCCAAACACGATCGATGGAATCAGTCGGGGTGGTTGACCCCGGGGAAAATGTCTAGTTTCTGTAGGTTATAATTACCCTAAGGCTCCAACTACCTCCGTTTCGAAGATGGTTATGGTGGGTGCCAGGGGGGCCTAACCAGCGAACCTGAGGTATGGGCCAGGAGCCCTAGGGTAAATAAAATTCGTCACACATGCAACTTCTGTGATTCCAGGTGCGGCAACAGCAACTTCGGACGGAGCATCGACGAAGACAAGTTCAAGCTGGCAACCAGCTGCTCAGTCGCGACAGGGGGGGAAGGAGAGGGAGCTGAGTGGTCCACCTGTTGGGATCAAGTCTTGTGCTGTTCCGTCCCACTGCTCGCCTTCGATCGTTGGCAGTGAGGATGCTGGTAAAGGTCGAGAGTCATGAGGAAACCTTTAACATAAACAATAGTTCAGGCGTTCGGTGTTGGACCCTTCATTCCTGCACGATTGGGGTGAAGGCGATTTTGGACCTGCCAGATGTGTTTTGTTTTTTACTGTGACTGTTTTTGAATGAACAAAAAAGCACATAGAAACGGTCAGCTTTCAGGAAGACCAGGTTTGGGGGAGGGTTCTTCTCCATGCAAGGATGTTAGCTTTCTCGGCTGTCAAGAGTATATTGAAGTCAATTATATAACAACGAAACACATGCTGCAAGGAAGTGCGAAGTTGGATGTGAAAATGGTCCCCAAGCGATTTGTGTTCTGTACCAATCAGTGTTGGAAGTGCTCACCATGACACCTCTCTTCAGCCAGTCCATCATCCGCACTTCTTAGATTCTTGCCTCCTCAGTTCCATGTTCAAGTCAGTTCCCCTAGGGTTCCAGTCGTACCTTCTGAGAAGGTGTTTGGGCTGGCTTTCGAGGATCCAGTCATGCCTTTTGAGGAGGTACTTGGAGCCCAAACGGGTTCTGATCTCTGATCTCTACCAATGATTTGTTGGTCAAAGAGCGGCATGGCCCGTCGTTTTTGGGCTCTGGACCGGTGAAAACGCGCGTGAGAGAACGCGCGTGGAAAAAACACACTAGGCAACTACATCCAGATTGCGAGCTACAAGCATCCGCAGCTGGGCTCGGCTCGATGTTGCGGCGCCTGCAGGGGTAGGTTCATGCAGATTTGATGTACTGAAGTCAGTCGAGGTCTGATGAAGAGGCCCCTGACCCTGATCTCCAAACCTACCAGGTCACCAAACCCTAATCCGAAGGTCTTTCTCACAAACCTGAATCCAGAAACCGTCATAGGAGCCATGGCCAGGGACCTTCAATTCTTAGGCCCCATCAACCCCTTGAACGACCGGACATCCGCCTCAAGCAGTGAAGCGACCTGAACCGGCTCCTTAGCAGCTCGTTGGAGCTCGTTCGCTGAAGCTACTCCTCTCACCTCAGTGACGGGGCTCCAAGTCGATAGTTGTCAAGGCAACTTGGTGATTTTGGTGTTGGAATTGTTCCAAAGCATCTGGGAGCGCACGCACCTGACATCACGTGACATGCGGGGTCCATTTGATGCCCGAGCCTTCGCATTAAAAAAAAAAGTTGAGCTGGTTTTGTAGAGTCAAACCCTTAGTAAAACATTAATGGTTCTTTGGCAAAGATATAATAACTGTATGTATATACATAGAAAAATCCACATCGAAGCTTCATCAACCCTCTTCAGCAGTTCTCGCCCGAAACGCCGAGGTATCCCGCACGTGTCTACCATTTGGCTCGAGAGGCCATCATGACTGGAGGCCCCATCCCTGCATACCTCTACGCGGATGGTGGATTCATGGGATGCTCCGAAGCGTTTGGGCCGGGTTTTCAGAAGCCGCAAGGATCACGGGGGTCGATGTGATCAAGCTCTTGTGGCGACAAGTAGGCAAGCGAGAGAAACCATCAACAAGTAAGAAACAGTGAGGTTCATGCGGCTGAACATGTCAAGTGATTATAAGTGGTTGCGCCAATTGCAGCAATCAGCCCTTAGGATGTTTGGCTGGAGGGTGCTGAGGGTTTTAGGGGGCCTGTGCTGTGACTTTTTGTGATGAAAACACCATGACTGCCAGACTGCCATGGAACATCTCTCCAACTTCCCCCGCACGTATCCGAGGATATTCTGGGGGTGTTTACACCCACGCCTGCGACCAATTTGCCAATCATGCCATCACCGCAACCTGGAGCTCAATTAGTTCTATATAGTCAGTGGATTGTGAGTAGATTGCATAAACCTATAAACCTCCTTTCGGATTGGGGTCCATATAAACCTCCTTTTGACAATCGTATAACATGTAACTACCCCCCAAAAAAATAACACTGGCCATAGAGAGGAACATTGTTTTTCACTGTCACCTCTGAGGGTTTATGTAAGTCAGCAGGGCGGGTAAGCTCAATCTATATATATAGAGGTTATATCGGTGCCTACCCAAGGAATGAGTAGCCGTCGAGCCTACCCTACAATGACTATACTGGTCCGAAGATGAACTGGGGAGGGTGAGTTCGGAACTGGGGAGGGTGTCCACCCAAATGCGAAAAGGGTACAAGGGACATGTGAAACATGGATAAACATGGTGTTTGAGTATGGGATGCACCACAAAGATGTTGATGGACCTAATTTGTTTTTTCTTGAAATGATGGATTGTGTGCACTCGAAACTTGCTAGAAGTTGTGTGCCTTCTATATAAATGAATGTGATTTGTTCTCTTTAAACATTCTAGAAGTATCCAGAAGTTTAGACTTGACTTGAACTGATTCACCTTTCCAGCTGTCAGGGCCTTCAATATTCCTAACACCTCTGCTTTGGGCAGCCCAACTAGAGTTTTGCTTATCCCAGGGGCTACCAAAGAGATTGATAAGAGTCAAAACTGAATTTGTATTAACATATTAACATATGACATATGCATACTGTAATAATAAGTTTTTGCATATGCATACACAATACATATTGTGCCTCGAAATAATCCGGCATGTTTTGATCACCGGTTCTATCATTTTGCAGATATCCGGTTCAAACCCCAACACTCCACGGTGACGGCCAATAGAACTTGCACGACCAAGTGGGTGACATGTGGGTCATCCATACCGGCATAGCATAGCATGTTTGGGTATGTGAGCCATATGGGTGTGCAATTTAATAGGCAGACGGCCCCCCGAATCCATGAGTAGACTGGTCTATGTCCCTTTAAATCCATGAGGGTCGTTGCCTGGGAGGCTTCCCCTTTTTAAATACAGACCTGTATGGATTCCTCGCTGCTTGTGCCACAAGCGGCGGGGCCCTCCCAAACAGGTCATTGGCTGGGGCCCTGATTACTGGCACTGCTTGATCCTCGGCGAAGATGTTTTGCTTCGAACTGTGTGCTCCCGCCCTTGACCGCCAGAGGTGGACCGTTGCTTTTTGTGCCAAACAAGAACTATGCACCGAAAACTAACATAGACCCTGACAATGGCCCCTTGGAAGAGTGTTTTCCTCTAGTCTACCAACCAGTGGTTTTCAGGGTCCCTGTAGGGTCCTATAGGGTCACTTAACCTCTGTAGGTTTGCGCCGAAAAAAGAAAGAACGGTGTTGGCAAAGCGCGGCGTTCTACTTCGATGCAGGGCGAGTGGACATAGGCCGGCGGCTCAGCTCTCAGGTCCAGAAGCCTAGTTGTGAGGGTCAAAACCCTAGCGATACGTGAGGGTTCAAGCCGCCTTTGGGTGGGTTTCGTGTGTTTTTGGCCGGGGGAGATAGTGGGGAGTTGGTTTCTTTTTTTCCAGTTCGCACCCAGATCCATCCGTTTCGCATGCTCGGTCGACCTGGTCCGTTTTCGCTCGTTGTTCGACATGTCGGTCTACTGGGTCCAGTTGCCGGGTTGGCGATGGCCGCCGTGTTGGTGCGATGGGTGTCGGACGGCAGCCGCCTTCGGAGATCAGCAGAAGTTGAGAGAAAGCTGTAGGAGAACACTTCTCATGAAGGTACGACTGGACCCTGAAAACCTAGACATAATTAAGAGTGTCTCCAATCACCGTACCTGAGAAGGTACGACTGGATCCCTAGGGCTGGGACTTGCAAGGCAACCCTTCACCAATAGTGGCGGGGTGTTTTCACTTGAACGTTTAGCTAGCAGACCGCAGTGACGCCGTTGTTTGAAGCGTCTCGGCGTTTGCGCGGCTGCGTCACTTGTGCCTCTTCACTCCGGCGCACGGCCGGCGCACGGTCTGAGGAACTCCTGGGGTGACTGGGGCGACAATGGCCGCTTTAAGGTCGGGCTTTGCGCCGCTCGGTTTTGGACCGACCTGCTGGACCTGGACAGACCTGCTGGACCTGAGACAGACCTGCTAGACCTGGACCTCTCTTGACTCTTGATGAACCCTATAGGGCTCCAGTCGTACCTTCTGAGAAGGTGGGACTGGGCTGAGTTTGGGTGGTCCAGTCATGCCTTCGGAGGCACGACTGGGGCCCTAAGGGGAGTAAAACCACCACAGCCCCGGCATGAAACGGATGTCCAATTCAATTGTCACAATTGAATTGGACATCCTTTTCATGCCGAGGGGTTCATGAATCAAGAGTTTACATTAGTCGTCCACTCGGGTGAAGATGGACTCGTCCGATCCAGAAGCAAGTGACGAACGCTGGTTGCGACGGTTGGGTTGCGACTGGTTGACCCGGTGTCGCTGGTGGGAGTTTTGGGGAACCCCAAGGTGCCAGCCCTGATGACATCCAGCACAGCAAGGAACAACGAATCCAGAAACAGAATGAGATCGCTTAGCCCCCACAAGATCACTTGGCTTTCAAGAAGAATCTCCATCTCATGGTGGGAATCTATGAATGATGAATCATGAACATGGTGTTGTCACTTTTAATTTGCCCTGACTGTTTGTGGAAAACAGCCGTTTGGATCTGTTTGGTAGAGGAAAGTAGCTGGCTGTCCATTGCGATGCTGAAGTTCTCTATTTGAGTGACTGAGCGGCTTTTCCTCAAGTTTGTTCCTTTGTCTCCCCCCTTTGCTCTATCGTTTTGATTTCTAGTTCTGTAGAGTAATCTCTTGCTCCGTACCCCATGGCCCAAGTCTATTGCGGGTTTGGACTCGCGAGGCGCGCGTGGTTTTCTGCGGGTTTGGCACGTGGTACTGGGACTGACTTTCTGCTTGTGTTTCCAGTTCTGTTTGTGTCTTAAACCTGATCTTGGATGTATTTTTCATGTTGGTAGCAAAGGTTGGTAGTGTCAGCTTCCAGCTTGTTCCCCAGGTGAGACTGGCGAGGTAGTCGCTTCGGAACGCAGAAAAACGATCGCTTCGGAACGCGGGAATGTGATCGCTTCGGAACGCGTCTCCAGAGTCGCACTGTCTGGTTGCTAACTGCAACCCACCCCACCCCACCCCCCACCCCCCACCCCACCCCATCCTTTATCTTTTAACCTTTTCTTGAGTATAGACAAAAAACAGGTGTGGTATATGAATACGTCTTTCTATATGCCCTTGTCCCCCCCCCACCCCACCCCATCCTTCATCTTTAAACCCTCCCCATCCGTGTCTGTGTGTGTGTGTTCTAAAGTCACTCAAAAAACCAGGTGCGTTGTGTTCCAAAGTGATCTCGCCTTTGGTTAACCCTTCCATGTTTTTGGGTGTTTTGTGTTCCAAAGTGACGCATCTTTTGTGTTCCAAAGTGACTCTCCGGCCGGTGAGACTCAGGTGGACAGGGAAGGGATCGAACTCGTGCAGTGTACCGGTTTAGGAAAGCAGCCTTCCGGTGATCATGTTCAATGTTTGTTTGTGTGTTTGTGCGTTGTGTTCTTCTGGTTTTTGTTGGAGGGTAGGTTTCGCCATAGCTTGGGTGACTCTGACCCTCAATCAGCTGAGCATGGTTTGATTTCGCCGCTGCGCCCTGTTTGCACGAGGTCTTGACGGATTTCCAGATCCCCACCACCAGCATCGCTGGACACAGCTGCTGGGACACGTGGGGACGGTGGTGAGAGGAAGTAAAGAGAGGAAGACTGAGTCTTTGGCATTTGGGGTGACATCGATGGTAAACCTATTCAGCCCTGCCTGGATAGATATATGATACATACATATAAGATATATATATATATATATACACTTAAAAATACGTTTTAATATTTAAAACTATATATATAATATATTTGGTATATTCCGCATATTTGTACGGTTCACAATCCCAGCGAGAGAGAGAGAGAGAGAGAGAGAGCGAGCAACAGCGATGTGTGTGGAGTTGTGTATCCAAGCATCTGTCCAACAAGGCACTGACCATAAACCATAGACCATGTGTTTTGCTTGTTTTCATGCATCACAAGACCGCTTCCGTCGATGAATGTTCAGCCTGAAATCCTTACAGTCGGAGCTTGTAGATGCAGCAAACCGCTACTTGTTTCGGTCCCCGTGAGTTCGCGACCTATCTGAGTCCGGGAGCCGGGGGAATTCTGAGTCGGTCCGTGCGCCGGAAGTCCGATGCGATCCATCTTACATCGCCAGACACGACCTGTCTGGGATGATGGCATATTTAACAGATAAGAGCCATCCGGCTGATTGGGTGATTTGAGGGGTCAAGGTAGGGTGATGTTTGCCCGTCTCATAGGGGGTGTTTGGGTTAGTTGTTTTTCGTATTGTTCTGGTCTAGGTGTCATCATGTGTCATGCGCGCCACATATTTCCGATGAGAGATACGTATGATTGACAACTCTTTGGGCCATTGTTCCCCGAGGAAGACCTGTTTCTATACACTATACACTCCCTGAAGATCATCATGGGTTAGTGGAGTTCACCACCGGTTTGGTATTCGGAATGGCTGGTCCTCCTTTGGGGCGCCATGCACTTCCGATTATTCCAGTGTAATAAGTCAAGGTCAAACCCTCTCCGCCAGGATTTTCCTCACCCGCAAGGTAGTCTGTTCAGAGAACTTTCCGGGTTCGTATGAGTCCCCAGAAAATCCGGACTGATGCATTCCTGAGTGAACATCGTGGACGGACAAACCATTGGATGGTTCATATCATCAGGGAGAACATACCAAGAGAGGTTAAGTGACCTTAAAGGACCAGTCACCTGGGTACCTATGGGATAGCCTATAGGGTCCATCAACCTTTGGTATGTTTGAACACCTGGAAATGCTGTTCTTGCATATGTTGGAGTTTCCGAGGCATTGCGTGCAAGCCTCAAGTTATGTTCAATCAGCAGTTTGTATTGCCATTGGTTCAAGGGAAGATGTCCCTGACAGAACGCTTGGTTCAGTCAGTTGTGAATCTATCTCTGTATATTTAATACATACATAAATATAATATATATGTGTGTATATATCTACTATATAGGCTGTATATTAATGTAATTTAATGAATATTATACAAGCACGTGTTGTGTTGTTTTGTCATGTGTTTATATTTTTCATCTGGTGACACAGATATTCTCATCAGATGGTGCAGGAGATATTCCTGCCTTTAAATGTCACTCGTTACAGGCCTGTGTATCGCAGGTTGTTGAGGATGTCTTCCAAGAGTTTCCTGGTTGTTTCTTCTTCCCAAGACCAGGGTAGTAAAGGACTTGGCCTAGTCTGGACTCTTCTACGCAAGGTGCAGACTATGCTTTCCCCTTGCAGGGCGAGAGCCAGACACCTTCGCATGGACTCAACCCTTCGGAGAGCTATAGCAACATTGCGCCTGGAGCTGCAAACTTGGCATGACATGAATTCAGTGAGACACCCCGCAACAACATCCAACAGCCCCAGTCGTCTTTCATGCAGGGTGTGATGCAGAACTGCGAGGCTGAACCCAACCAACGGGTCTCCGATGGGTGGGGTCGATTGTGGGTTTCTCATATTTGCTGACGCTTTTCAGAGTGGTTGATTGATTCATAGAGCCCAAGTGCACAACCAAGAGGGTTGAACACCGTTATAAAATAATGCATGTCAATTATGAATATAACTTATGCTACCAAATCGATCCCACCATGATTCCCCAAAAGCCGGATGGTTCCGCTGGCAAACTCGGCAACCTGGCCAGCAGAGTGTCAGGTCAAACCACCGGCCAGGCGCCTGCCCACCATTCTTTCAAGGGGTTGAAGTCCTGTGGCTCAAAAATTCCCTCCTGCAGATGACCACATGGACCCTGAAAAAACCACTAGGTGGTAGAGGAGAATGGTCTGAACATGTCTGAACCAGGCATCCATGAACTCATGGTCCATGGGATTGTCGTAGGTCGCGGGTGCTGTCGCTGACCGACCACGCAGGCACAGGAGGGTCAGGCGATCGCGCCACGCACCAAAGACCGGCAGTGCCTTTGCTCCACAGCCTGCGACAACCACGGCTACAGCCTGCCAGGCGCGGGTGCGGGCGGACGCCAGACCTTTTCGCACGGGGAAACAGTTGGTTGGGGAGATTTGGTGTTTTTTTGCTTCAAGAAGGTCTTCAAGCTTCAACAAAGACATGAAAGCTAAGCAGGAAAACAAGAAGAAATCCCCAATGAAGCAACGAATTAGCAGAGATTGGAAGCACCAAACTGCGAATTGATCAGTTTCGCCACTCAACAGGCACCATTTTCAGGTTTCCCCCATAGAAAAAACTACCCTAAGGGCTCCAGTCATGCCTTCTAGAAGGTGTTTGGGCTGGGTGCCAGGAGGGTCCAGTCATGCCTTCTGAGGAGGCACCACTGGAGCCCCAGGGCTTAGGATCCACCTACTCTAGAGAGGGTGATGTGTTCGACACCTTTGTGATCTTTTGTGTAGCCGCCAGGTCAAGTCACACCCTTTGAGAAGGCAGTGGGGCCAGTGGGGTGGTTTCCCTCCGCTGACCATCCCGATAGTCGATAGGCAAACAACATCAGAAAGCGTGTGTAAAAGTGAGGCACTCGCGACACTTTCGGGACATATGAAGGCATCCCCAAATGCGAAAAAACAACACGATATTTCTAGAAGCCCCACGCCGTCGGCCGCCGGAATTCTAGCCGGGAATGTGAAGATCATCACCAGAGGTTGAAGCTCAAGACATGGAGGATCGATCTGAATGCGTGCCAATGTAGGAATCAATAGTATATGAGAAAAGCATAGAAAAGCCAATTACACCATCCACTCCCTCGCTGCATCTCGTCTTCCCTTCGGAGCCCGGGCTCTCGATCGCCTAAAAAGGAGGCCACCCGTCGCGTCGCCGCAGGTGGCGTCTTTTGCTGGGTCGCTGATACGGTTTGCCAGGGTACGAACTGGGGTACCTCGGCCCAGAGACGCTGCAGGGCGTGGGGTCGAGGAGACGTGGAGACGCTGCAGGGCGTGGTCTCTTCCAACGACCGAAAGAAGGTCCAGCGAACGTCGCCGGATGGATGGAGGGACGGAGGCAATGGGATGTCCCGAGTTAGCACGGAACGAGAAGACGTGGTCTACCCCTAGGGATCCAGTCGTACCGAACCTCAGAAGGTACGACTGGGCCCTCCAAGCCTACAGAAGAGTGTCTTCAATCACGGTACCTGAGAAGGTACGACTGGATCACCAGGGTACATACATTATACACATCAACCGCTGTGATTGGACCATGTATCTTTCTGCCATATGGATCTATAAAGGAACATCCCCCATGAAGGGTCTGGCATAAGGAAGACTGTGTGGCTTCAGTTTGGTCCGTGCGGACATGCTCTGGGTTTTTACGGAATGGTGCGGAATGGTGAAACGGGGCGGAATGCACCCTGCTCTTGGGACTGCAAGCGAAGATCAGCTAAGGAGCCGGTCTAGTTTTGGTATTCTTATCACGCGTAACAAACAATTATATATATAATATATGTGTGTATTCTTGACAGGCCTTATCACTATCCTGCGATGTCAGCACTGACTGTCAGCTTGCATCTAGAGGGTTGACGTAGAAGTGTCATCCTCTCCGCAGGTTGGAATTGAGTGCATTCAAGGTGGCTGGCTTTTGTGCTCAAGGTAAGATGCGTTGCTATTTGTTTGTTGCTTCCAAATTGGACATAAAAGACAAAATGAAACAGGCTTTGCACAGTAAAAGATGGTTTGCTTTTTGGCTTTGCATATGTGTCGTCTTCACTCTGCTGCGGCCGCCAAACTCTCTGAGGCTACTGCGAATATCCTGACTTGACTGCCACCACTGCGACGACCACCACCACCACTGTGAACACAGCTGCTCCAACCACTACGACGACCACCACCACGACGACGACCACCACGACCACCACCACGACTACTACAACCACCACTACAACTACCACCACCACAACCACCACCACCACCACTACCACAACCACTACCACCACCACAACCACAACCACCACCACCACCACCACCACCACGACGACCACCACTACCACGACCACTACTAGCACTTCCACGACCAGCACTACTAGCACCACCAGCACAACAACCACCACAACTACGACCACCACTACGACGACGACCACCACCACAACCACCACCACTACAACGACAACGACCACCACCACCACCACCACCACTACTACGACCACCACGACCACAACGACTGCGCTACTCGTTTGCAAACAAGTTGCCGGTCACGTTCAGCCATGACATCCTTGCAGCGGGACGTTTTGATTCGACAGACCACACATTGGATCCCGATGGGACCGTTGACTACGTAAGCCCCAAAGAAGTCAGGCACAGTGCACCACGCTCCCATTTCGGTATTTTGAGGGTTTGCATCTATATCAGGTTCATCATCTCCATTCAGATGTCACCTGCGACCTGCTGTCCATGGCAAGAGCATTTGTCGTTGGACGCAATTTTTAGCACCTTATTTTGTGATTCTCTTGTTTGGGATCTTCTAGTGGGAGCCTTTGGAGTCAAGAACTGGTCGCGTAATAACAAGCGACCTACCCGGTCGCGTTTTAGTCCTACCAGGGGCCACAAGAGGCAGTACAAGAGCTGTCCATGAATAGCCCCTTAGAGGTCTGACTGGTACTTAGTAGGGAAAGAGGGAATGACCCCTCACTATAGATACCTTAGGATCCATTCTCTCATTCCTTACTAAGCACATCTAAGCACCAGTCAGAGGTCTTATGAGGTTATACGAATTGAATGAGGGTTTGTCCTCCACTGGCCGCCCCGCCCCTGGGTCCTGTATCCTTAGTCCTCAGGACCGGCATTGTGGGCGAACCGTGGAAGTCTCTTGGGTTGGACAGCCGCAGGGTCTCGGGTCTGGCGAGGAGCGATGGCAGAGCGGTCCAGCCACGGCTGCAGTAGGGCGAACTGGACGGATTGGTTTCAAGGAAATCCCCAGGCCAAGGAGGGCCTGCCCCCCACCAACCCCAAGGCTTTTGAGCCAGAGGGGGCTGTATGATTGTATATGATTGTATGCAATCCAAGTCAGATGGAGCGAGCCGCTCTGCGGGCGCTTGGAGTAGATGATGGTGTAGACGATGGTAGAGCCATGTAGAGCCAGAACTGCATCCAGTCACTGCTCGGAAGCCGAAGGCCTTTAAACATCGACTGTATTACCAGGGCCCCAACCTCTATGGAGCTATAAGACTCGACACCCCGAAACTGGGGGCCCCTGGTATCTTGTTTTTTTTTTAGTAGCCATAAAGCCAAGCCGCCATTCCCACCTCCACTGAAGGACCCTCAGTGGCCACCGAGCCCCAAGGCGCCGAGCCTTCGGAACCCGACGACCTTGGGGAAGCTGTTTCGAGAGAAACCGCCGTCGGGTGGTATGCTTTTTATGTGAATAGAACGTGAATAGACTATATCTCAGACATTCTCAGACACCCACATATATGGCATATTTTATCCATGGATATATATGTAGGGCGGTTGAACAGGGGGGGTCCTTACATTGATTCAGTGTTTGGGTGTGCCGTGCAACTCGGAACTCTTGGGGCTGTTGTATTTTGTTTTTCCGAATGCTATCGTCCATCCGGCGGAGTCTGGGTGCCTACCGGGGAGGTGGGCTGGCCTAGCCACAGGTGGAGAGTGTCCACCTGGCAGAGTCCTCAGGTTGATCTCGGGACCTTGCAAAGTGGATCGTGCTGGATGCATCAAGAGCCCTCGATTCAGCATCCTGGTGAGATCTGGAGGGGGCCTGGAGAGGCTTGTGTCCTGGAGTCCTAGAGCCATGTGCTCAACTTCCTGAAATGGAAGTGGCACAGCACCAACTATTTGGTAATAACAAAATGGTAATGTTGGATCCTGATTAGTAAAGGGGGGTCCCCCCCCCCTCAAACAAACAGGGGGACGTCTATAATAAACTATCACCAAAACAAATCTGGATTCCTGGTGAGGGATCTTTTGTAATTGATTGTAGTATTCATTTTCCTTTCATAGATTGTATTCAGCTTCCTTTCTCAGGTGCTTTGTAATTGTTCTCAGCAATCCTTTTGCTTTGCAGCCTCAGATCTTCAGCTCAAGAGAAGCCCCAAGCTTTCATTGGCCTCAGGAGCTAAGTAAAGGG